AATGGTCTTTGGGACCAATGAGAGCTAAGTATCTGCTCTAATTAGCCATGTGGCTCAGTCATCCCGGAACCCATGAGAATCATCCTGAAACATCCATGCCTTTGCTGACCCACCATGAGGAGACCACACATTGACCTCGGTTTTCCATTGCTGTAAACCACTTCATCGAGGCCCTACCTCATTCCAGGGGGTGGGACAACAACAAGCAGCTGGTCTTGAGGTTGTCAAGTATTTTGAGCTTTTATCTCATATATAATTGCTCACAGAACCCCAACCTATAAAATGAATCAAGCCCAAGCTTCTCTTAACATAGGTCAAGGCAAAGTACTTTGGAGGCTGAAGAATAAGCTACAGAGATTCTGTGGAAGGAGTTCCTGGGAATCTGATTCATGGCCTTGATTAGGGGAAAAGTTGTTTGGTGATTTACTTTTCTTCGAGGGACATTGATGACATCAGTTATACCAGTCGTTTTGAACTTTAGCACCTGCCAAGTGATCAGGGGATGTATGCGATGCTAAAGCATTGGCTATCAATGAAAAACAGTTGTAAAGGTAAAGAATGGGAAGACAAAGCCATTTTGTATCATATTGTGTTGGTGAATTAATGTGCTTTGCTTCACTTACTATTGCTGAGTCATTTAATCAGCCATTTGACACAACATTCTTTTACTCAACCAACTTTGTCCTTGTGGCAATATCTTTATCTCTCATCTATCTCCCAGGTGTGGGAGTTCTTCACCCTCATCCCGGTGCTTTGGCTAGGTAGGGTTTGGTTGGGTTTCTCTGGCTTGGGAGGTGGTTAGAAAGAGGATTTATAGACCCAGTCACTTGTAAAGCTGTGTTAATAATCTGTCGACATTCTTTTGTGATGTAGCATGGAGACACGGGTTCCTTTTTGTGTGCGTTGGTTTTGGGGCAAGCAGGATTCCCACAGAAGTAGGGGAAGGTCGAGTCATGTGGTGGGTTGAGGACTGGGCAGAATGTCAGGAGCCCTGGCTTCTGGGCTTTGTTCTTCCACTAACAAGCTGTGTGACCTCGGCTAAGTCACATTGCCTCTCTGGGAACCAGCTTTCTTACCTCAACAGTGAGGGCTTAGAGTAGGTGATTTCTACAACCACTTCTGACTCCAACATCTCAAGATAAACTGTCATTCCTACCACTCAGGCTGCGTTTGCCTGGAAGGTGCTTCCATTCCTATCCAGAAGGCCCTTTTGTGAGATTTTTCAGTATGGGAGCTAAAGCAAAAAAAAAAAAAAAAAAAAAAGAAAGAAAAAGAAAAAGTATTTTATTGGTATTTTCTTTTCTAAAAAAGAAAAAAAAAAGGATTTGATGAGAGCTAGTCTCATCTTGTCCATCATAAGGGAAAAACAGAGGCTCTGACAATCCACGACTTTCAACTCCAACTGTGGGTATTAGTACATCACTGCTGAAGGCCGTTTTGGGGACAGGAGCTCTGAGGCAGCCCCAAATCAAGGAGCAAGATGGACCTCCCAACCTGGCTCCAGCACCAACCTCGTCCACCTCTTTCTGTATATCCCACCCTCCCTGCCCCCTTGTGCAGGGAGAGAAAGTTCTCCACATCTGAAGTCAAGGCCATGACCCACCCCCCCAGCACTCTGACCACACCAGGAGGTGGGGGAAGGGGGACCTCACATCCTTCTTAGAAACTCACAAAGGCCACTGCAAATCGCTCTTGGCCATTGCCCAAGCTGGAAAGAACATTTTTTCCCCCAGATCATTATTAAGAATTTTATACAATCACACATTCTCTTGTCTCACATACAGACATACGCTGCCAGAGAGAAAAACTCATCCCTGAGTATTGGGTCATAAATTATATGAGGTACATTTCATTATAAAGTACATTTCTTTAGTCCTTTATGAATGCTCTCCATTTACCCCAGGGGGGTTGTAATGTACTCTGACATCTTACTTTCTTCCAAGAAGCATTCCTTCATATTGTTTAGTATGTGGGGGCCTAGCTGGGCAAACAAATCCTTCGCTGGAAAATGAAGGCATTCGACTCCTGTATAAATGGGAATACAATCATGCATCTATGCCCGGGCTCCGGGGAGGTCACATATAATCTGTAGAAAAACTGGGTAAATAAACATCAGTGAAAGAAATGTCTGGGGGGGGGAAAGGGGCTGCATAAACAGCACAAATGCATAATTGTCCAGAAAGATTGGAAACCCAGAAAGATTGGAAACCCAGTGATTCTCCAGTCAGAAAGACGGGAATGAGTATTTTATAGCAAGTCAGTCCTCGTTACGTCTGGTTTTTAATTTTGATACTTCGTCTGGGTCCTTCTCCTTCCCAGCCCCCGCTCAATCCTTCTAAGGCCCTCAGTTGCTCCTCCAGTGGAGAACCTCAAAAAGGGACACAGTGGAGCAAATTAGAAACCACGTCGGGGCCTCCCCATTTTCTTCAATTAACAAAGGCAGATGCAGGGGGGCAAGAGTTGGAGTGTTCGGGTTTTCCTGAACCCAAAATGCTTCAGTTTTACCTTGCAGAAGATCATAAACCAAAGCTCATAAAATTGAACTCAGATGAAGAACACTCCCGTCTTTGGAGTGCTACTAAACAATCTGCAAATTATTTAAATTAAACCAACCCAGCCTTCGACATCTGCACACAAAATGCTTAAGTTCCAAGTGCAACTTTACTGGCATAAGAAAATAATAAGGGGAGTTCAATTTGTGTCAGCATGGCTCAGGAAAATAAGATATCATGTCTTGCTGTCTGCTTGATGTCAACTTCTCAGATGTGAGCCCTAATGCCTCATCCTAGACTGTCCGCACCAGAGCCTGCCAAACAGAGAAGTTCAGCCAAAGTTCACCAAGCTACTACCAAATAGCTTTTCCCCCCCTCCTTTTTCAATCATTAGAAACCTTCTGTTTTATATTGTGCACACGTGATTGCATCTACCTCTTAAAACATATATAGCTCTATTAGCTTCTCCCATTCTTCGGGAACACTGTCAGTTCTGTTCGGTGACGAGTGTGTTCTATGGCTCAGAGTTATTCAGCTTGTTAGCTCCCATGGCCTGTGCCCGGTTCCATCTGAAATGTTTGGTTGGGACACACCGATGAAATCTGTAATATTTGAGGTGATTTGAGAGTAATTCCTTACACAAATAAATAAAGCACGCATGTGCACATGCGCAGAAGAGAGAAAGAGGAAAAAAAAAAAGGCAGACATCAATCAATCAGTCCGTCTCCAAGATTGATCCAGAAATGCTTTTTCAGCCCTCTTTCCCTCCTCGCCCACATCAGAGGCTCACTCAGGGCGTGTCGGAGAAGTTGCCGATAGAATCCCATCCAGCCCTGGAAGAATCCCCAGCCCAGACCTCCATTCCTATCCCCCCCTTCAGCTGGGAGGCCGAGACTACCAAGAGGGCAATATCACAGGCCATTTTTCTCATTTTCCTTGTTTAGTCTTGATTTACTTTAGATGACTGCCTCTTTCATTCCTCCCAGTGAAACTGTGCACTCACACTTTTAACCATGCAAAACCAACATTTTAATGCTGCTGGATGATGTATCAATTTAGGGTCCTGGGATCACCGAAGAGCTAGAATTTCACTCATCAGCAGAAATGCAGGTTTAGTAGGTGTGTGAAGACAAAAATAAGCACAGTGAAGTCTTTGATCTACTGTGTGCATATTCCATAAAAATACCTTTCCTATAGTGTAACATGTCACATTTAATCTATGTTCCACCCTCAGCATCTTCCTCCCAAGCATCACTTGGTCCTTTCCAAAGACCCGAACACCAGGGCTCGAAGCGGCGTTGTGGAAGGAAAGTCCTCTTTGTTTCCATTTGGTGGTGGTGCTTGGGGTGGGGTGGGGGGTTTTTCACACAGCAGGAAGAATAGCTTCACAACCTATAACCTTCAACCTCATTCCTGGGCCACTGCCTTCTCACTGGTCTCAAAGACTGCGAAAATCCTGCTGAAATTCACATTTCAGGTGAGTTACAGCTGATTATGATTATTGTAAAAAAGCTTCCTCTACATTGAGTATTGATTTAGAGAGCTTTCAGGCTCACGCTAACTATTGTACCATCGATAGCTGAGTATGGTTTAATTAAGCAATTTGATTAATTGTCACAAATGAATCTGGTCTCAATATGAATATTAAAATAAGATAAATCCTAAACTATAGCAATATTAAAAGCAGTAACCTTGTCACATGCCGATCGTTATCATCTTGACGTCTTTTTATCTTTCCTATCATAAAATAATTCAGCTTAAACCTTGCTTTTAAAGGAACTTGTCTACTGATTCATATTTCACTTAATCTGGTATCAATTACTGGCCTAGATTTGGAAATTCAACGTCTGCGTAGACAAAATGCCTTAATACCGTAGATAGTAGCTGGTTTCTGGGTTCAGCCCGAAATGGCATGGTCAGAAAAGTTTAAAATATTTTTGCTAGACTCAAAGATGAGCAAGATTAAAAATTCCCAAATGTGTATTCTGGACTCCCTCCAAAAACATTCCATCTTTATTCATTATTGGATATTGTCTTGATTAAAATTCCTGTTGGTTTGTTCTATGGTTAAGTAGTAATCTTGTATCTTAGCATTTGGAATGTATTGGTATCATGTGACACGCACAGAGTCCAAATGAATATAGAGAGATCTCTTTCACAAGTCAACAAGGAGGACTCAGCGCGTTCAGATTTCAGCAGAGCTGTTGCAAGGGGGGGAGGGCGGTTTATCTGCTCAGCACATTCTTTCCAAAAAGTGAGTCAGAAAGAGAGCTGTTCAAAGCAAAATGATTTTTTCCTACCACACCAAGGTCCTGAATCAAGGCAGATTTCTCTAGAGGAAATAAGATATATTTTTTGCCCTTTTCTTTTTCCTTTATCTCTTTCTGTTCTATTTCTAGCATTTGGTGCCCTTTATTGCTAGTTTTACCCAGTAACATGTGAAAAATGTATTCGACAATGCAAAGCAGATGACTCGGTCACCATCTTCTGAGTCACCGTTCTGTTCTCTGCATTCTTGCAGATGCCTTTCAAAACCAGAAAATGATTCTGTTAGGAGCCAGTGAGAGGGGAAATGAAAATGAAAAAAATGGGCCTGCTTATGCAGCCATACAGACACTTTGTGAGGTATCCCCCACTGGCAACCTGCTTGGCGTGGGGTGTTCGCAAGGACCCCAGGCCGGGGTCTGGATCCTGCAGAAGACCCAAGAGAGCATGGGAGGCTGCAGGACTTTGGCAGACTTGGCCGGCCTTTTGCTCTGTTTTCCAGCTTAAAGGCCACTTGGAAGTAAGCTCTGTGGCCGAGAGGAAAGGGGAGGCTGTGGCGGAGGTCTGGCTGGGTTCCTTGAGCTGAGGTAAGTTGTCACCACCAAGCTTTTAGGGACAAACCCAACTTTTAGGTAGCTTGTCAGGTGCACCAAGTCACTGAACCCCTAACACGGTGGACGGGGGTGTCTCATGGCATCGGATAAGGATACAATCCCAGCGACATGATTCTGGAGCAGAGAGACATCTGACTGCTTTAGTGACTGAGAAGGAGCACACAGCAGACGCTCAATACCTTTCTCTGCGTCAGGGGGCTGGTCTCCACCTTGGGGGAAGTGAGTGGACCAGATCGTGTTTGGTGAGGCCGACTTACAGGTGAACTTGTTCACTCAGCATAACCCCTCCATGCGCAGAAATACTGACCAAAGTCAAGAAGCTGTCCAGTTTGTTGAACACAAGCTCTAAGAAGAAGGCTTTGTCTGTTTTTTTTCCCCACCCTAAGACGAGTGCCAAGAACAGTGACTACACATCAATATTCGTCCATGAATGGATGGCATCATATGAGGGTTCTGACTCAGAAATCAACCGCAATGAGCCCCATGACCCTTGAAGCATGCTCATTATTTTAACGAGCCAAATTTTAGAAAGACTGGACCAAGAAAGGGACAGGACTAACAATCGTTGGCACTTAGTATGTGTCAGGAAATTTCTCATGTTCTTGATGAGTAGGTACTGTCCCATTTTCAGATCAGGAAACTGAGGCTGGGCGAGATGAACTCATTTGCCTATGGTCGCCTAGCTAATGAGTGGTGGATCTGCGGTTCAGACTCAGGACTCCCATGGTAGAGTGGTTTCATAGATCTAGTGACTGTAATACTTCATTGTTAGAGGCTCACGGCATCAGCATTTAGGGACGTATTTGCCTGCTTGCACTCGATGCTGGAAAAATGTTTTAAATTCTTTTTATGGGAAGTTTTTAGAATTTTGAGATTCAAACCAGATTAAGTAGGTGAAAGTGCTTTTTTAGACTTCTTGGCTCGACACTAAAAAATTTGTTCTGAATCCAAATCCAATATAAGTTGTATTAGCTTTTTTCTAGCCAAGAGTTTACAGAAGCAAGAAATAAATCAACATGCCTCCAGCCCCAAGGGGTGATGCGGAGGAGAGAGATGGATGTGTGATCAGGTCTCAGAGGGCTCGGGCTTTAGTTCCAACTCTGCTGCTGAGCAGCTGTGTGATCTTGGCTGGGTCACTCCACCTCTCAGGATGATAAGTTTATCAACAGGCAAATAAAAACTAATAACCCTTGCTTTGCTTACTGGTTAGAGACAGTTGGAATCGAGAGATGTCATGGAATTCAAATACTTTCCAAGCTTATAGCATCCAACTGAGAAAACTTTTATGTTTGTGATGAAAATGTCCTATATTCTGTAATAATGGGGTTTGAGCCTTTTCCCATCTACTTACCTAATTTTACTAATTTAGTTTAATTTTTTTAAAAGATATTTATGTATGTATGTATTTATTTATTTATTTATTTACTTGACAGAGAGAGAGACAGCGAGAGAGCGAACACAAGCAGGGGGAGTGGGAGAGGGAGAAGGAGGCTTCCCGCTAAGCAGGGAGCCCGATGTGGGGCTCAATCCCAGGACCTTAGGATCATGACCTGAGCCGAAGGCAGATGCTTAACAACTGAGCCACCCAGGCACCCCAATTTAGTTTAATTTTTATCTTAGGTGACAACAGACACTTTTCACATTTAAAATTTCATTTAGCTTTTTCGCTAAGGTAAATGGAACTTTTCCCCCTTTGTTTGGCATTTGTGAATAGTTTCCTGATTTTTTTTTCTTTTTAATTTTAGCTCAGTCAAGATTTACTGTTTTTCTCTAAGGCAATGAGTCCAAGTACCCAAATTCACCTCAGAGGGGACAGAGAGTTGCGTCGATGTTTCCCTCTGTACATGTTTCTCAGGTTGGCCCCAGATATGAAATATAATTATGGTGTTTTCTTGCCTGATATTAAGACAAGTCTGAGGAAGCCTGGCGTACATTCCTTGGGCTCATGAGTAATTATGGTGTTGGTGATGATCAGCTACTTTATAAGGTCTTGGGCTGTTGGCATTCTGGTTTTTCTGTAATGCACATAACCCATGAATCTAATTACCACTGTTTTGGTGCCTAACAAATATGCTTCACTTGTAAACCTTGTATTTATGTTCAGATGGGACTGGAGGGTGTGTGTTTGTGTGCGTTGTAACCACCACAGCCCAGAAGTTCACAAAAATATCCCCCAAATTCCAATCAGCTTTTTGGTTTAATGGCCCATGCATTTGATATTCTTCTCTTGGTTGGAAAACTATTTTTCAAGTTCTCTTTTTCTCCACTGCCATTCTCCTCCCTTCCTGTCTCTCTGTAAACTTTATAATACTGTGTTTGCTTTTGAAAGATTAGGTAAGAGGGAACACGTGTGTGAAAGTCGTGGCCACCTCCCGTGTGCTGGGGGCCGGTGAGATTAAGGCCAAAGGCCAAATGACTTCGGCACCTGACAAGTGTGTGGATCTCATTATGGCCATTGGGTCTGCGGGGGCTTAGAGAAAAAATCAATGGATTTGCAGGATGCATGATCAACATTTGGTGAGAGAGCAAGTCTTCCACGACTTTGTTTCTAATGCGTGGCAGAGGTATGGCCCTCCCAGATTTTAATTTTGTCTCCTAACAGTAAAGTTCCCATCTACCCTATACATTTAAGGATTCACACAGCTTGAAGAAGCATTTGAAGTGATCTCATCTCATCTCTATTTTATAAATGAGTAGCAGGAGTGCAGGAAGAAGAAAGGAAGCTTCCGAAGGCCTCCTCACTGCCAGATTTCCTGTCTGCCAGCTGGATGTCCATCTTTTACACCTGCTGTCATGGCGCCAATGTCCAGGTATCCATGGGGAGCTTTTGAGCACCTATTCTGAGCTTGGCAGTAAGCAGCTTGGTTTGGGGATCACCGAGACGTCCTTAAGGCATAGTTTTGGCCTTCAAGGAGTTTGGTAGCAAATTGGAGAGCCAAGACGAACACGACACAATGGCCTCATTATCATTACGGGAAATGGCAGCTTACAGGTCAGAGTTGACATCAGGGGAGCGGTGGACCAGTTCCTCAAGACATTGGGGTGCAGGAGATGGGGAAGACTGGTCTACCCAGAGGAAACTTGGAGGGAGAGCTTGAAGCAGGTTTTGAAGGTTTGGGTTTTGGAATTCCAGGAAGGTGGCAGGGCTTGCAAAAGGCTTGGGGGCCTTGAGGAAAGCGTGTGAGTGAAGCTTCAGAGTGAGGACAGGCCCACTTCTCATTCTCGATCTGTGTGTGGAAGTCGTGGGGATGAGGTAATGACCGCTCTGATCAGGGACATGGGGAAGGCAACAGCAGGTGCCCAGGAAGCCCCTTCACCCAGCAGGTGCCAGGATGAGAGTACCATCTACAATGCCAACTTCTAGAATGACTCATCTCTTTGCCTTCTTCTTTGAGAGGTTTGCTCCGCTCATGCGTATGGCTTTTTCCAGGGGGGGGCAGTGCGGAATTTGATTGTGCACCGTTCCGAGGGCAAAGCTGGAGACAGAAAGAGGGGCAGTTGCCCCACGAGACCAGGATGTCTTAGGCTAACACTAAAGTGCCCAGTGACTAGGTAGGGTGAGGGGTCTGCATCCCGACTTGGTGTCTTCCTGCTTCTGAACTCCGGCCAAGCCACTAACACAGTCCAAACCTCAGGGTTCTCACCTGTCCTTTAAAGAGAGAGTAACACCTGCCCTAGCTACGGCACACCGTGCGGCAAGAAACCCATAGGAGAAGATATGCGCGTGGGAAACAGACTGCAATCGCTGTCAGGTCACAGCGTTCTTGCTGCTGAGATGGTGGGGCATTTGATGCAGGGAGAAACCGCAGGAGGAAGGACTATTTCTTTCTTTTTTTAAGATTTCATTTATTTGATAGAACAAGAGAGCACAAGCAGGGAGAACAGCAGAGGGAAAGGGAGAAGCAGCAGGCTCCCTGCTGAGCAGAAAGCCTGACGTGGGGCTCGATCCCAGGACCCCGGGATCATGACCTGAGCTGAAGGCAGATGCTTAACAACTGAGCCACCCAGGCGCCCAGGACCTATTTCCTTCCAAGGAAGTCCCCGTCTTCGGCCTTGCCACTTAGAGCATTCTTTCACTTCACTTTTGTCTCTTCACTGCCCCCCCACCCCGCCCTGTTTCAGAAGGAATAGAATGGAACTAGCTTGAGGATTCTGCTCAGACAGATGACCATGAGCAGTCCTAAACCAGAACTGATCGATGCTGCTGACAGAGCCATCAGAACTGGGGTGACTCCACGCAAAGCTGAAAAAAATCAAGGAAAGGATGGCGGGGTGGTGGGAGGTGGGGCAGGGGTGGTAAGATGATTGTCCCTCCAAAAAGAGGAGATGGTTTTCAAACTGTATTTTTAATATATTTTCTAAATTTTAATGACAGCTCTGTCTGAAACCATTAGCCGTTTCTAAGGTTCTCTGAGCAGGGTTTTCCTTGGAGATTGGCTTGATTATAGGTTTAGGTCTTGATTCCTTTCTAAACGTAAAGAATCAGTTCATCTAGAGCTCCCCAGGTAGTTCCCCTCCCTACCCCCCAGGAGGAGGAGGCCTGAGCTGGAAGCTGTGGCTAGCTGGAAAGAGACAGAGTGGGGACCAGAGGTAAGGGGACTCCTAGGCCAGTGAAAGAAAGACTTTAGAAACATAAATAATGGACGCCAACTGGTCTAGAGAGTCAGAGGCATGGAACTGTGTGTGGGAAGGGCATTTATTGAGTGCTTGCTGTATCCCCAAACCTGTTTTTTATTCCAATTTTATAGGATCAGAGTTTAAAGAAATCTGGATTTTTTCTGGAAGACAATAGGAATTCAGTGAAGGGTTTTTCCTTTGCACAATGACCCAGATACAGCCTTAGAGAGCTCATCTGGACTGCCAGGCGGAAGATGGATTTGGGGCAGAGGCTAGGAGCGGGAGGGCAGTGAGGGGAAACCAGGGGGAATCCCCTGAACTAGGGCAGAGGCAGTGGGCAAGGATCAGATTTGGGGAATAATTTGGCAGCAAAAGTGTAAGGAGTTGGCCTTTGAGATAATAGTCCTCATAGTGTTGGCTCCTTGTATTGCCAGCTTCCAGCACTTATGAGATGCTTGAGCTCACGATTTTGGAATGCTTGTTGATTAATTGCTTGGTTCACTATATTTCCTAAAGAAAAAGGTCACTGTTTAACCTATCCAGAGACGAGGACCAAAATTTACCCATAAGGATGTTTATTACAGTGTCATTTTTAATTGTAAAATTATGTCCAAATAGGGAAAGCCTCCTTTGTTGGAGAGAATATTTGCAATTATTAAAAATCATGTTTTCAATAAATACTTAATGACACAGAAACTTCTAACAAAATGTTAAGTGTACACATAATACAAATTACATATAAATAGTGTGCTCCTGATTCCATGAAAAAAAATGCATGCACAGAAAAAAGAAGGGAAAAAATATTATCAACATGTTAATCATAATTCTCTTGAGTTATAAAACTAGAACTCCCATTTATTTTCTTCCTCCTGTATTTTCATATTTTTTCAAATTTATACCATGGAGGGGTCGAAGTTTTCAAATCATAAGGATAAAAGTCACTGTGGAAGACCAACTTAAGGATTCAGAAGATTGTGTTCAAGTGTCAGTGCTGCCTTATGACTCAGGTGAGTCACTTACCTTCTATGGTCTATAATTTTCTCATCTGTACAGTGGGCATAATAACATCTGCTTGCTAATTACAGGGCTATTGTAAATGTCAAACAAAATAAGGGATGTAGAAGTACTTTGTTACTGGCATAAGTTGCTCCAGGAATATATGAGATTCTGGTTATTGTGAAGTTTCCTCCCCTCATGGGGACTCGTAAGTGGCTGCTAGAGGGCCTTCCAGGTGAGTAGCTGGCAAGCTAATCTGGAGAAGGAGAGGAGGAGCTTACTCCAGCTTGAAACCATGGTGCCTGAATGAAGACTATCAAGCCTAGCCAAAAGTAATTTCAGTGTGTTGAAGAGAGAGTGGAGACACTCCTGGAATGTTAGGGAAAGAGGAAGACATTGGCCAAAGAGGACCTCAGTCCTGACAAGCCTGTTGGGATCCTATGTCTGCAAGGCTGGGCTCTCCTTCTAGCTCTGGGACTCCAGTCTTGAGTAACATTGAACCAGACCTTTCTTACTCCCTCTGGGCCTCGGGATCCTCTGGCAAATGGCAGCTTATAAGGGCTGGACCTTACCCCCAACCTTTCCCAGCACTTGTTCTCATATTCTGTGGAATCATCCCTTTCATCACTGCTGTAAAAAGGAGTCACTGTTAACAATTCAAGTGAAGAGGTGAATGAAGAATGAGTGGAACACACACAAAGAGGGGTCGGGAGAATGGGCAAGCCAAGAGATGACATTATGTTGCAACCAACAAACGTGTATTGAATCTGTGTGAAGTGTAGGACTTTGTGCTTCCTACTGAGGGTTCAGAAACATGGGTCCCAGTCCCTGCCTAAGTGGAGAGAGAACAACAAGGACATCATCACGTTCTGATTGCCAAGAACGCTTCACAGAGAGTGAGCACCCAGGAGATCAGGAGTGGATGACAGGTGGACTGAGGAGGAGTCAAAGCAGATAGCAGGTGGCTGGGCAAAGCCTCCCAGCTGGGAATGAAAACAGAGCCCTGGAAAGAAGATAGGTTTAGGGAGGACTCAGTTGACAGCTTCCGCCAGGTCGGAAGCTTCTCGTTGAGTTATCTTCGACAAATCACTTAACTAAATGAACCTCGGTTTCTTCAGTTGTGAAAATGAAGCAAACAATACTTCATGGGCTGTAGGGATGGTTAAATGCAGGAAAGGAGATAAAGTTCCGGGCATATAGTAAGTGTTCAGAAAATAATAATTTTCTTTTTTCTTTTTTCTTTTTTTCTTTGAGGCAGATAATGTCTAGCCCTGGACCAGTTGATTGAAAACTGGTGGCTTAAGAGCTAGATCTCGTCTGTAGATATTGTTTTGTTTGGATCACAGAGTTCTGGCTTTCACTGTGTTTTTAAAACATTTAAATTAGTTGGAGACACTTGAAATTGGGAGATTTCATATAAATACCCAGATTTCCGACGTCTCTGGAAAACTCCGATCTGACCACAGGGGCCCATGTTAGCACTTGGCACTTACTGGCTGGCAAGGAGTCAAGGCAGCTCCTGTGGGTGGGGCCACATTCCCTACTTCTCTGCAGTCCCCACAACTCCCTACTGAGCCCCAACCCTGAGGCCAGTGTCAGCTGCAATCTATCATTGTGTTTGCACTGTTTTTTTTTTTTAATTCTTAAATTGAGTTAAGAGTTGAGTGAAATTTCTTTTTATAGCAAAAGCAGAAAAACGAAAGATGTGCCAAGAACATCATATGTTTCAAAAACAAAAACAAAAACAGAACAGGAAGAGAACTTATTTCTCTGGGGAAGTGAAGAAAATTCCTGTGTTTAATATGCAGAGAAAGCATGTCTGTATTGAAAGAAGACACTTGGCTTGCTTCTCTGTTTATATTACCTGCCTGGTCCTTGTAGACATTTGAGTTTGTTGCCTTTAGCCTGGGCCACTTGCTCCTTTCCGTATGTGCTTGTGGAAAAGATCAGTCCCTCTTTATAATTTCCTGCTGCTGTGAAGGGGGAAATTCTGACAGAACTGAAAAAACCATGTGGACACCAATGGTGGTTGCCATGAAGTCCATTGAATTGGCTACTGGACAAGGTCTCTTGCCTCCACAAATATATGTCCATTTCCCATGAGAACATACACTTCTTGGAGATATTTTCTCCTCCCAGAATTTCCTGATTAGCAACCCCAAGACCAAAGATAACTCTAAGCCAATGGGATGTTGGCTGGGAACGAAGGGAAAACAATGGTTTGGAAAGGCATCATCTCCTAGAAATATGACATGAGTCAAAAATGTGAGCCATCTGTGTCATTTGAAATTTTCTAGTAGCCACATTATAAAAAAAATTGAGAGAATAAAGAAATTTAATGTAGTGTTTTATTTTACCTAATTTATCCAAAATAGTGTCATTTCAACATTTTAACATGGAATCAAGATAAAAAATAATTAAATGAAATATTTATACTTTTTTCCCTTCTGAATTAAATCTTTGAAATTTGATGTGTATTTTGGATTTACAGCACATTTCAGTTTGGGCTGGCCACGTTCACAGAGCTTGCTTGCTTCTTATGGCCAGTGGCCACTGTGTTGGATAGTGCAGGTTTCGAAGATAGAGGGGGTTATCCATAGCTATAGATGCTTTACTGGCTTCTTGACTTTGCTGCTAGCTGACCTTGATTGGTCAGACCTTGGTCTATCCCTTCTTGGTATCCCTCACCCTCTCTTATCATGTGCCTATATTTACTCCCCAACTTGAACAGTAAGCAGGCAACCCCATGCTGTGTTTTCCTCTCCTTGAAAACTCTTCTGGATGCAGCGTAGTGTGGGACACTGTAGGAGGTGCTCACTATGTTTTCTTGACCTGGTGTACTCTTTTTCTCAAATTGAGTTTGAGTTCTTCCATGATAGGATATTCGCAGAACTGAGTTCTCTGTTCTGAAGCAGGGTATTGACTTTGCTCCTGTTGAAACTTCCAAGGTTACTGAACTTAGACTTTCAGTGTTGACAGATGTTCATTCTTTAATTCATGAATTCATTAACAAACATGCCAGGCATAGTACTAGGCACTAGCAATTCCAAAGATCACAAAAGCACATTTATAACTCAATAATTGCTCAGTATGAAAACCAAACAAATGCTTTTTAGCATGACAGGTACAATTATGGATTTGGAGAGAGAGAGAGAGAGAGAGAGAGAGTAAGGGACATAAATGGAGGAGTAGCCCACTGGTTTGGATTAGGGAAGGCTTCACAGAGGAGGTGATGTTGGAGCGGGGTCCTGAGGAATGAGTAGAAATTCAGCAGGCAGCAAGAAGGGCATGAACTTACACTTGTGTGGCCAGCACATGCAGAACTCTGAAAGAGAGCCCCAAGTTGGGGCTGATGACCAAAGCAGATGGTCCAGCTGTGTCTCTCCATTGTGAGTTTATAGGCAAGATTATAGTCTAGAGACAGCTAGTTTGATATTCACTTAGCCTTCTGTTTTATTGTGACTTTACCAAGATGCCCCAATGTGTGAAATATCTAACCCTATGACCACTTCAGAAGACATCTACTCTGTGCGTCTTACAGAAATTTAGACAACTTTACTTGTTTGTACACAGGGACTTCTTGGGCCCCATATAAAAGTCATTTCTATAGAGTACCTTCAACAGACTTCTGAATAACTCTTGAAATTAAGTACCATTAAACCGTAACCAAAATGTACATGTGGATTTGAAATGTGTCAACATGTGTTTTGCATCTTTCACTTGTGAAATTTATGTATCTTGCATGGCCTTTGGACAGACCCCATGTGTTTCACATATGGTTGGTACATTTCTTATTAGGAATGGTATAAAGAGGGTCAGGAGAATCAGACTACTGTATTGATAAACATAAGGTTTGAGATCCACTGATAAAAAATGGCTCCCGAGACACCCACATTAGTGGGAAGAACATTTGTCTTGGGAACGTAGAATTTTATGGCTGGAAGGAATCTTGGAGAGAATCTGGTCTAACCCATTCATTTTACATCTAAAAAACTGAGACCTCGAGAGGTTAAGTGACTCACCCAAGGTCCTCAGGTATCAGTGGTAAAGCAAGAATGAGAACTGAACCTTCCTGATTTCCAGTCCAGTGCTTCTTTCTATTTTCCACACTGCTTTGCTCATGATTCTCATTAAAAGAGCATTACTGTTTTCCAGCTTAAAATGATTTCTGGATAGCAATTTGAGAGTGTTTTCCAGATTGCAACTGTGAGGACATGGGAAAAGATGGAAAAGTGTGGGAGCAGAGTCGTGTATTTGTGACAGGATTGTAGCTCCAGGGCCTAGCAGGATGCTTAGCACGTAGTAGCTTCTCATTAGCATTTGGAGAATGAATGAACCACACCAATAACCAAGATGAAGGCCAATGTGCCACCAGAATCTGTGGGAGTGCTCACGAAGATTACAAGACCTATAAAACTAAAATGAGAACCACAATTAGGGGGCCAACATACATTTTGCCAGCAAAACAGGGCAAGCTTGATCTCCTATAGAATGTGTCTCTACCCAGAGATGACATTCAAAATACTTAATGACCATGACCACACAGGCACCAGACATCAGAGTAGAGGCTGCTGTGAACAGTTGGAACAGGAGATGTACAGCACCGTCTCCTCCCATTTTACTGTCCTTTTAGGTGCTCCTAATGTGGTTCCCCTCCCGCTCACCCAATAATTCTCTTTTCTATTGTCCCCTGAGAGAATGAAACTCCAATAAAACTACAGAGAAAAGAAGGAAATAAGGATGATGGATGTGGATATTATTACATGGAAGCTGTAGTCTCAATGAGCAAAAATCTGTGGGTAGGAAGAACCCTCGTAACATTGCATGCTGGAGTCTAATTTGGGGGTACTTCTTCAAAGAGTTTAGAGTCAACAAGCCAGGGAATTAAAGGAGGACATTTATGGTCATGTATGCAGTAGGGCTCTACTATACGGGCATCTGCTAGATACTGGAGCTCTGGATCTCTGTGCACATCCTTCTGCCCGCTAGCTGTATACCTGGGAAGGGGTTT